GCACCTGGGATGAGGGGGTGGTGGCAGCGGCACGGGAAGGAGTGGCTATTGGGAATTCTGGGGTGGCTATAGCCCCCGCAAGCCCCTCCCCAGCGCTTCCCCTGCTGGCAGGACTTGGAGCTGGGCTGGGGCCGGACTGGGATCTTGCGGCAGTGACAGCCAGGGCAGAGCCGTGATCTGCAGCCTGCGTGTCCTGGGCAGGGGTGTGCAGACAGTGGCCCATGGCTCTGCCCTGGCTCCGGGCCACGCTGTCACCACCACAGCATCCCAGCCCAGCCCTGCAGCAGCTCCCCCGTCCTGCCACGCGCCATGCCAGCGCCGCGGCGGCCAGTCTCCAGCCCTGCAGCAGCTCCCCCGTCCTGCCACGCGCCATGCCAGTGCCACGGAGGCCAGTCTCCACAGAAACCCCGCCCTCCTGCTATCACAGCACAGCTGCTGCTGGGGTCTCCATGGAAACTGGCCCCAGCCACAGGCAGGGACTGCTGGGAAATGGAGTCTGGCCAGCAGCCAGATCCACTGTTTTGCCCACCCCTTATTTAATGTCTAGGAAGCTCTGACTCGGAGGCTGTACCCCTAACTCCCATGCTCAACAGTTAGTGACGCACCTTTCCTCCCAGCATGTGTCTGAATCTAGCTGAACTGCCAGGTGTCACCACATCTGGTGGCAATGAGGCCCACACTTTAATTACATGCTGTGCGAAAAAGAACTTACTACCTCGGCGTTTCATTTTATGACCCGTAGTTTTTGTACTGTGAGAGACTGCAAATACTGCATCCCTATTTACTCTCTCTTCCCCACTTAGTATTTTGTAAACCTTTATTATATCCCCCTCAAGCATTGCTTTTCTCTGTTGTTTTGTATCGAAACAATGTTCCAGCAGTCTTGAAACTTCTTTAATGCCAACCACTGATGACCTGTTGTAACCAACACAGTTCAAAATGAAATGTCCTTAAAAACAAACGGAAAAACTTTTAAAATTGTTTAAAGGAAAAGTTTGTTGGTTTAAGTTAAATTGTCAGCCTTTGTCCACAGGGCATTTGTGTGCATGCGTGGTTGTTAAAAATGGTATTTTTTGATGAAATATCTGACCAAAATACTTCCAACTAGTTCCTCCTGCAACTCTGGAATCTCACTTAAAGCAGGAGTTTCTACTTAAGCTGAAGAGCTAGGTACCTTATTGAGGGAATAACCACACATGCATCTTAAATCACTGAAAGAGGAAGTAATACCATGATAGTATGATGTACTGTTTGGACGATGCTCCATAAAGAACAGTGCAAGACTGGGGGCCTTCATCATCTATCATTGTTTTTGGACCAGGAGATATTAGGTCATTTAAAAGAATCAAGGGTTTCCTGCTTTATCTTGGTCTGTGTGGCAGAAGGTATAGTTTTGTCTGGATCCTGGCATGGGGTTTTCTGCCTACACGCACAGGGGCTAGATTATGTGTTTGAACCCTGTCTGCTTGGGCCACAAGAAAGGCTGGACAAAGGAGAGCAAGCACAATCCTGAGGAAGCGAATACAGCTTTCTGTGTTTGAGGTTTGTTGTACAGCCAGATTTGGGGATTCATTTATGCCCAGAAGTGCCCAAAGTGAAAAAGCTTCCCATCCAGTTGATACTGGATACGGATGCCAGATGGTAGATCATCTTGGATGAGGTGGATGATGACGGTCAGGTAGATGGTAAACACAATGGGGATGATCACACAACTCTGTTTGACCCCGGTCTGGATGTGGAAGGCAT